TACACACACAGACACACATACATATACACGGTAACTACAAGAGGTGATGGACTTTTATTTGAAAGGCTAAAAGGGGAAGAGAGGGAGAGAGAGAGAGAGAGAATATCTTCCATTTCCATCTGCTAGAATGCCTACAACAGCAAAGGTTGAGACAAGAGCCTGGAATGCGTTCTGAGTCTCCACATGGGTGGCAGGGACCCAGGAACTTGAAGTGATGTTTATTTTATTTGAAAGGTAGAGTGATGGAGAGAGAAGGACACACAGAGGGAGTTCTTCCAGCCACTGGTTAACGTCTCAAGACTCAAGACTCAAGACTCCCATGTGGGTGGCAGGGATCCAAGTACTTAAGCCATCACCTGCTGCCTTCTCAGGTGCATTGGCAGGGAACTGGATTGGAAACAGAGCATCCAGGACTCAAACCTGTGCTCTGACACAGAAATCTGGCATTGCAGGTGGCGGCTTAACCACCTGTGCCGGACTGCTGGCCCCAGATAGCCTGAATTTTAATATTGAGGACCCCCCGTAGATGCTGTTTGATTGGTTTGCATCCAACCCAGCCAGGCATTCATTGTTTTTTTCTTTTTAAAGATTTATTTATTTGTATGAAAGGCAGAGTTACAGAGAAGGAGAGGGAGAGGGGGGAGTGGACTGGGAGGAGGAGAGGAGGGAGAGGGGAGAGGGAGAGGGAAGCCAGGAGCTTCATCCAGGTCTCCCAAATGGATGCAGCGGCTTTACCTGCTATGCCACAGCACTGATCTCCCCCCACCCCCTAAGGCATTCACTCTTAAACAAACAAACAAACAAAAACACCTTCTACTTGACTTAAAATGTAGAGTCAAGGGGGCCAGCACCATGGCTCACTTAGTTAATCCTCCACCTGCGGCGCCTGCATCCCCTATGGTTGCTGGGTTCTAGTCCCAGTCGCTCCTCTTCCAGTCCAGCTCTCTGCTGTGGCCCGGGAGTGCAGTGGAGGATGGCCCAAGTGCTTGGGCTCTGCACCCCATGGGAGACCAGGATAAGTACCTGGCTCCTGGCTTTGGATCGGCGCAGCACCAGCTGTGGTGGCCATTTTGGGGTGAACCAATGGAAGGAAGACCTTTCTCTCTGTCTCACTCTCTCACTGCCTAACTCTGCCTGTCAAATAAAAAATGTAGAGTCAAGGCAGAGAACTATGTCTCTCCTTTCTATATAAAAAGTAAAAGTGTTAATCTATCACTCAAATACTTCTGGATTATTCTTTTTTAAAGTTGGAGGGCAGTCTGGGACGGTGTGACACAAACGTTGGAGTTGAGGGTGTACGTGTAATTCACTTTCAGGGAGCCTGGATTACCTGAGAGATCAGAAGTCAGTAGCAGAGTGGCTGTAGGAGCCACTGTGATGAGCTGCTTCCCATGCCCTGAGCGGAACAGCACACTCCGGTGGGAAGAGCAGCAAGGTTTTATCTAATAATAGCAAATGGACTTCCACGCAGTCCTGGCCAAGGCTACTAACTGATGCAATAAGACTTGGGCTACACGGACACCTGGGGAAATAAAGCATTCGGTAGTAGTTCCCTGGGGAACTTCCTGAGCCTGCCTTTCATCTTCAAACCTGCTTTAACCACTTGGGGTGCCAGCAGCCTAAGCTGCTTTACAGACTTCTCGCTTCCCCGTGCAGTTCACTTCGCCTTTTCTTGATAACACTCTCTCTTCGTTGTGACAAACATGATAATCAGACAATAAATTGAGAAACTGGACATGGTGAGGAGAGATGGGGCCAGCAAACACTGCAGGTCAGCAGGTGCTCACTCCTTCTCTGCATTCCTTCTAGGCTCTTCCTGCCACTTCCCCGCCAGTGTCTCGGGCTACTGTGGTTTCACCTCACCTCCCTTTCCAGCGCTGGTGTGTAGACTCGGCAGCTGGGGTCCCGAGCCGTGGGCGCCCATGCCCTCCACGTAGGTCCACTGTGTCCCACTAGTTACGGAAGAGTTTCCTCTGAAGTTTTTTCCCTAACTCTTCCTTGAGACTACAGTATCTCCATTTTTATTAAACTCTTTTCCTGGACTATCAGTGAGCTCCCTCCATATTCCGCCATCTTGGAGCCCTCCCCCACTTCCTTACTCTCCAGCCAGGATACTCACCTCTACCGTGTCCTCCAGCCAAGCCCACACAAGACTCAACTCCTAAGATCCTAAGAGGACGGAGGGTTGTACACTTGCATGTTATCCTAAGATCCAAACTGCCTGGATTTTAATCCTGATTCCCTTCTCTGTCAAGTAAAATGGTGGGAGGAGGCACAGCATTAGCCTTACCTGTTTTATATTACTTTGTTGTGAGGAGCCAATACTGTGAGTAAAACAAAGCAGTGTTGGGTGTGTGATAAGTGCTGAAAAAAGTGCTAAATAAGCATGCCAATATGGGAATGGCATGATGAAGAATTTTTAATTCTTGGAAGATACTTACTTATATACAGAGAGAGAGAGAGAGAGAGAGAATCTTCCATCAGCTGGTTTACTCTCCAAATGGCCACAACAACCAGGGCTGTGCCAGGCCAATGCCAGAAGCCAGGAAGGAACCCTATGCTGGTCTCCCATGTGGGTGGCAGAGGTCCACGCACCTGGACCATCTTCCACTGCCTTCTCAGGGGCATTAGCAAGGAAGATGCAGCAGCTGAGACTCAACCCAGTCCTCTGATGTGGGAGGCCCTTGTCCCGGGAGGCAGCTTCACGCACTGCACCACAACGCCTACCCAGAAGCCTCTTTATTTTATACTGATGATATCCTGTTACTTTACTTTTCAGAGTGTTTTTAGTGGGTTTTCCATCGGACGCTGGCTTTTGTGTATATACATTTAAACTTAGCAGTAGACTTGAGAGTTCTTTGGGGGAGAGGGGCAGGGTGGCAGTTGTGGGCTTCCTTGTGGGTCACTCACTGGGCCTTTCCCGTGGGACCCCGGATGCAATATCATCAGGTCTTTTCTCGTGGGAGCCAAACTTCAGAGGAACAACTTTCTGTTCAGTCCCCTGATGAGAGGGTATAATCCCAGCCAACAGTATTCTTGGGGTAGGTCAGAGCCGTCTGGGGCAGAGCAGGGCCTAACTTTCAGCATCGAAACTTACACTGCATGGAAGTCTGCTCAGCCTCTGTTTTCAGTACGGGACTCCAGCCTTGACTAAGTCTGGTGCACTCAGGAGAGACCGTGCTGACGTGATACCCCTCTCCTTGGGATCAGATCCCGTTCTGTGGGGCCTGATGCTGAACCAACTTTAGGGCTTTGGGAGAAAGAATACAAAAATGACTTACTTTGAAAACACACACACGCACAACCGTTTGTACATGTATCTCGGGCCCTGGTGCTCCCGTGGGACGCCAGCTTGGCAGGCATCAGCTTAACCCACTGCACCAGGCACTGGCTCTTGTTACCACTGTCCTGTGAACTTACGCCATTTACAAAAAAAATGGCTTTTTTGTCTTTTATTAAGAGATTCAGAATGGAGCAGATGATAAAGCTTATGTTCATCTAGCCAATTGTTTTTTAAAGATTTGTTTATCGAGAGTGGCAGAGAGGGCATGGAGAGTTATTTTTCCATCTGCTACTTCACTCCTCAAATGGCCACAAATGCCAGGGCAGAGTCAGGCTGAAGCCAGGAGCCTGGAACTCCGCCCAGGCGTTCCACATGGATGTTAGAGACCCAAGTACTTGGGCCATCACCTGCTGCTTCTCTAGGGAACTGGATCAGAAGCAGAGTAGCTGGGACTCCAACAGGGGATGCTGGTGTCACAGGGACGACACTACTGCCCAACCGGCCATTCTTAGCCTGCAGTCTGACCACACCCAGACAGACTCCAAACTGGCCGCTAGATGGCTGAAGCAGTTTCCACTGCTTGAGGCCCTGTGTGAAATATCCACCAACCCTTACCGGCACCCTGTATTCTCCACAGTTCCCTTTGATGAAAGGATCTGAACCCACTGTGGGTGCCGGTCAGCATTACTTTAGAAGCTTATTGGCCCCTTGTGTTTCCTCTGGTATGACTAACCTCTTCATAAATCTGCATTTTTATAGGAAGTGGTAAAGGGGATCAGAACATGCCATCCCCCAATATTGGCATATTGATTGTTTCCAGCTGAAGGCAATGGAGGAAAAACAAACCTATCCCTTTTTTTCTTTTTAAAGAGGGTTGAAGTCTTAATCCTGATATCTGTGAATTTGACTTGACTTGGAAATAGGGGCTTTTATTTTATTTTTTGATTTAAAGATTTATTTATTTGAAAGGCAGAGTTACAGACTTTGTCCTTTGTCTTTGTTAAAATGGTATATAAGCTCTTGGGCCTGTTTGTATGGCTGTTCACTTCTTACAGAGGAAAGCCTGGGTGTACATGTGAAAATATTAACATCAAACACAATTTTTACGTTTTGTGTGAATTTTGTCAGTTTAATTCGCAAGCCCAACCACAGAACCTGAGAAATCTTACTGATTTGTAGGCATTCTCTGTATTTGCTAATTTTGCCTGTTATACAAGTTATGACTATCTTCTAACCTTTATCTGTAACTTTCTTCATGGTATCCAAATTTGAAAGATATTTAAATTTTTGTCGTATTATTCCTATCCTAGGCGACAAATGATTTAAATTTCCTTTTACCACACATTTAGTTCTGATTGTCACATTTCCATTTGCAATTTATTTTTATGATAGCAGGGGCCTTTGCCCCCTAACATCAACAATTCTAATATTTATTGACCAGTCCAACTTCTATCCATTGACTTGAAATGCCACATTTGTCATGTCCTAAAGACTTATATGAGTTATTTTTCTATTTCAGGATTGATTTGAAATGTCATATTTATCATGCACTAAAAACTTATATGAGTTATTTTTCTATTTCTGGGTTCTCTATTCTTTGGAACAGATTTGACATTATATTCATCATTAGATTTTCAAAATGGTAATTTATACAGGAAATGTCCTTGAAAGAAATTAAACAGAAATTTGTAATGCTATAAAAAATACCAATTATAGATTGAAATAAAATGTCCACTTTAATATTTATTACACAAATGTTTGTTTACACTTATCTGAAAATTATACAAGGACAATTTGTGCATTTCACATTCACATTACTATCCACGTAAGAACGAATACACAGAATCATTTATCCGACTACATCAGGATAACACACAAGGCTTTTGTGTTAGTTTCTCAGTTAGAAGGAGACATCACATAAGGAAAATACATTTCCAAAGACTGCTTATTAATGATATAAATAAAAACTTATTTCTAAACGTCTTACATGTTGACAACTTTGAATTATACTTACACACTAGCAGTTCCAAAAATCATAAATTACAAGGGTCACTGTCAGGGTGAAAATATATATTTCAAAAGTTTTTGAAAAATATGTTCTTATTATGATTTAACATCATTTGATTTCTTCTTGGCACATGCGGCATCTTTGAAAGTAAAGAGAAGCTCTGCCAATTTTATGTTATTGTGCAGGTATAAGGGAAACAGCATAGTTTGGGGACTGACAGACTTGTATTCAATTACCACCCAGGTCCAAAACTGTGATATATGAGGCTGGTCAATTACCTCTTGGTGCTGGGACCAGGATTAAATTAATAATGCATATTTAAAATGCACAGTATGGACACTCAATGAATGACATCTTTTCCCCAATGCATGCATATTAAAACAATAGCAAAATATCATAGTCTTATGCTGTATTACAATTTGAAAAATTGAAATAAAATTGGGAAATTAAAAAAAAATCAATGTTATGAAAAATTGCACTTTCAATACATAAGAAAACTCCTTAGCAGGATTAAATATTTGTTAATAAAACTTAATGCCTACCCTACCCTGATTTAAAAAACAGTCCAAAAATATGATAAAATGGTAAATGGTTAAGGACTTTTGGTTTTCTTTTGTGCTACTGATATAAAAATAATGGCTATATTTAAGGCTCAATATGTGATTGTTTGTAGGTGCCCTGAACCAAATCTATATTCTCGATGAGCTGTCAGTTGAAACAGACCTGCTGCCTTGAATGACCGTAGCTCCCATGATGCTCTATGCCTGAACCAATCATGGCCTCCTTTCGAGGTCAGGGTTCACTTGGTGGCACGTGGCAGTTCAGCCCACCTGTCAGGAGGGATGACTCACACAGTCACAGACCCTTCTTGCTCATGCCAGGGAGATAGGCGGTTCCTGAAAACTGAATTTATACTGCCAGCAGGAACAGGCTACTTCAGACGGCAGCCTGTATGTTTATTCTTGGATCTCTCTGTTTCCTACCCTGACAACCTAACAAACCTGGCAGAAAAGCCTCTCCTCTGGGACACGTCCCCTAACCAGACTCCATACCCCTCCGTTCAAGTCCCCTGCACTCAGTAGAAAGTTGCGCTAACTTCAGCCTGAGATATCATCCGGTGGTCACGTTGTCTCTGACTTTTTGAGCTTCCACAGTGTTGTGCGTGGATATGCAGGACCATGTGTATGCATGTGGTGGTGGCAGTGGAGGCTGTTGACTGAATAAAAGAAATACAGAACTTCGGTATCTGCAGGGAACCCTTTAGAATAAAGGTTTCGTAACTCTTCAGAACTCAAAATTGCTGAACCTTCCTAATATAAAAAAAAATCAGATTTGTAAAATTCTGTTGGGTTTCAGACATGTCAATAATAATAATTAAAAAAAAAAACCCAGTGGAAAAAACTGTTTAAAAAACCTTCATGAAATATTCCAAAAAGGCTTTTTAATAAAATATTTTTGAGAGCACCAAATCTTTCCTATGACTTCATGAATGCAGATTTCGTTTCATTCGAGACAAAGAATACTGAACGGGAATAGGTGTTGTGAATCAGGATAGAAAAGGCAATTCACGGAGCCAATGTCTAATGCACACTTTGCACTTAACTTGAAAACCCTTCTGTGGTACTTATCCATGTTGTACTAAGTAAAAGCATGGTTCCTTTTACGATGGTGTAGATCTCCAAGCTGTTCTGATACTGTAAAAAGTGACACAATACTGAGGTTGCTATATAACAAGAAAAATGTTGTTTATATTAGCTGTTAATATTAAAATAGGATATAATAAAAATTATTTTAATGTGTATATTTTCCAATTTGCCTGACAGTGTCCTTTTGAGAAATCTGACAATTTTCAGTTATATTACAGACATTTAAATCTCACTTTTATGATTGAAAATATTACTTACATAACAAACAATATATATTAGCTTTTGACTGAAGCATTCTATAATTTATATTTAAAGCTTTGTGATAAAACAAGATTCATTGCACTTCTCAAAAGTTAAATTACACGCCATATAATGAATGCTATAATTAAATAAAGAATAAATAAATAAAAGGTAGCATAAAAAATTCAGGACCGTAACACTGCAACTTGTTAGCTCTCATTCTAAATGAGAATTCATCTGTTGCACTGAGTTCTAATGCATTTTGAACCCAAGAACCTTTATCTCTGAATGAAACACTGACTGTACCGAGTTTGGAGTGTGAAGATAAAGCTCCACACGTCTTTCTTCCTAGGCCATCTAGGAAGTAGAATAAGACAAACAGAAGAGGGCAGTTCTTTCCTTGCTGCAAACTGCCTCCTGGCTTCCCCCATGAATTCTATGTCGTTCCTAAAGTAAATATCACAAGGTGATGGCCTTGGCAAATTATAAAGTTTATGTAAGTGGCTTCTGCCCTTAAAGAAAGAAAAAAATTTTTAAATTTCCATTTTTGGCTTATTCACTCTCAATCCTTTTTTTTTTTTCACCCCTCTAACATACAATAATGGTGTAAAAGCACTTGTCGAAATGCTCATTCTAAACAGCACAAAATGAGTTGCATTCATTGATGTAGTTAATCAAAGCAGACTGCTACGGATACTAGGGTGAGGTCCTGGAATTAGTTACACGGAGGGCTAAACTAGCAAGAGACCGCATGGCAAAGGTAGAGACTTTGTGACAGAGGCCAGCTTTCGAGATGTAGTTGGAAGCCAATCGGAAAAGCCTCTCGGCACCGAAGGTGTTGAAGTGCCCAGGGAGCACCTTCTCCACCAGGCCTCTGTCCACTAACTCTATCAGGCGCTCACAGGTGCCGACGTAGTCGCTTATCCTGCTGTAGGGCAGCCAGTCAATCAGCGACCCATCGTACACGACGTCTCCGCTGAAGAGGATCTTGCGGTCTCTGTCGTGTAGGCAGATGCTGCCCCTGGAGTGGCCTGGCATGTGCATGACCGTGAGCTGTCTGTCACCGAGGTCGATCACATCTCCTGCGATGCAAACAGAGTTTACAGGTAAACGTGCTGCACGCTTGACTCCAGCCACCTAGAGAGCAGAGCAGGGGCTGGTGCTGTGGGTGTAGCACCCTCAGTCACTGCCAGCATCCCACATGGGCGCTGGTCCCCATAGGAGGCCTGGTTGCTCCACTTCTGGTCCAGCTACCTGCTAGTGTGCCTGAGAAAGCAGCAGAAGATGGCCCACAGGCTTGTACCCCTGCCACCCAACGTGGGAGACCTGGATGGAGTTCTGGGCTCCTGGCTTTGGCTGTGAGGCCATTTAGACTGAATCAACGAATGGAAGATCTCTTCTGTCTCTCTCTCCCTCTCTGCAACTCTGCCTTTTAAATAAATAAATAAATAAATCTTAAAAGAATAAAGAACAGAACAATAGTAAATAATTTCAAATAAATTGGGAAAGATGATACCTATTTTACCCTTACTTCTTTTTTTTTTAACTTTTATTTAATGAATATAAATTTCCAAAGTACGACTTATGGATTACAATGGCTTCCCCCCATACCGTCCCTCCCACCCGCAACCCTCCCCTTTCCCACTCCCTCTCCCCTTCCATTCACATCAAGATTCATTTTCGATTATCTTAATATACAGAAGATCAGCTTAGTATACATTAAGTAAGGATTTCAACAGTTTGCTCCCACCCTGAAACATAAAGTGAAAAATAATAGATGATTTTTTTAAATGATGATGAAATCAGATCAGACCTATTGTCATGTTTAATCCCAGTGAGAGTCAAGTTGGGAATTGATATTTTTTTTTTTTACAGATGATCAGTTTAGCAAACATTAAGTAAAGATTTCAACCGTTTGCACCCCCATAGAAACACAAAGTAAAATATACTGTTTGAGTACTCATTATAGCATTAAATCTTAATGTACAGCACTTTAAGGACAGAGATCCTACATGAGGAGTAAGTGCACAGTGACTCCTGTTGTTGACTTTACCAATTGACACTCCTGTCTATGGCATCAGTAATCTCCCTATGCACCAGTCATGAGTTTCCAAGGCTATGGAAGCCCTCTGAGTTCTCCGACTCTTATCTTGTCTAGAGAAGGTCATAGTCAAAGTGGAGGTTCTCTCCTCCCTTCAGAGAAAGGTACCTCCTTCTTTGAAGACCTGTTCTTTCCACTGGGATCTCACTCACAGAGATCTTTTTGCCAGAGTGTCTTGGCTTTCCATGCCTGAAATACTCTCACGTTACCCTTACTTCTTAAATACTGTATTTCTTAACAACTTAAAAATAAGCTGTGTATACGTCATTCCTATTGTTTGCTAGCCCAGTGTTTGTAAAAGTGCGTGTTCACGTGGAACACTACTCTTCTGCAGGCTATGATGACTTATAAAACAAAAGATGATCCCAGGGTCAAATGATTCTGGGAACTCTTGCTTCAAAGAAAATTAAACAGCTTTCTTTTTTGCAAGATGTCTGTGAGCTTTCAATACACCAACACATAGTGGAAATACGCAAGGTAGATGTAGATATCTCATTTCTCAAGCTTTCCAGGATTTGACCATGCAGCATTTACTTTCAGAACATCCCTGGTGTCAGCATCCTGTGAATTTTGCTCCCGTGAACCTTATATTTTTCCCCTCGTTGTGTCACCCTGTGAGAATCAGGACTTGAGGAATTCGTACAGGCACTAGTGCTCTGGCTAGTGCTATGCTCTAAGGAACGAACTGTCCTTTGTCTGTAACCCAGGAACCTTTTCCGTCAGAATCCACTAACAGCAGCGGGCTAACTTGCTACCTTGCAAGCGGTGTAAAAAGCTCAGATTCTTCATGGTTATTGATGGTAAGGAAGGAAATGGAGCTGAATAGGGGCAAACTTGTTATGCTTCACTGGAATTAAAGCAGTAACAATTGAAGTAAATGATGATAAATTAAAAGATTCATATTGAATTTGCCTGTGCAAACACATACATAAAAAACATAAAAGAAATGTAGCTAAAAAATTAATAGAGGAAATGAAACAGTAAAATTAGGAATTGCTAAAAAAAAAAAAAGGATAAATCAATAAAGGAGTAACAGAGGGATTTTAAAATAACAAAATTTTAGACCTAAATCCAACTATACCAACAGTTACATTAAATATGAATGGATTAAACACTCTAATGGCAGAGATTGTCAGACTGGATTAAATATCAAGATATATTTATCTACAAGCTAAAAATCTACAAGAGAGAAACTATAAGTTCAAAGATAAAAAGTTTGAAAAGTTTATACTATATAAATATTAACATCAAGGGAACTATAGTGGTTGTATTAACATAATAACATAAAACAGATTTCTATATAAGGAATATTATCAGAGAAAATAAGTACATTTTATGAGACTATATATAAGGTTAAGCTGCTAAAAAATAAGTTATAAACCCATATACCTCTTAAAATAAAGACCAAAAATAACATGAGACAAAATGGACAGAAATAAAATAAGCAATCTAACAGATACACCTGAAGAATTCCATATTCTTCTCTGAGTAATTCACAAAACAAGTACTTAGAAAATCAGGAAGAATACAGAAAGAAAACTTGAGTGGCTATGGTGGGAAGAATCACTATATTCCTAAAGTTGTACTTAGGAAATGTATGACGTTTGTATTCCTTAACTAAAAGATCTCTTAGGGGAAAAAATAAATAGACAAATATATAAAAAAAAAGAAAAAAAAGAAAGAAAGAAAATCTGAACAACCCTATCAGCCAACTTAACTAACCTGACACGTATAAAACACTTCGCTCCAAAATCCCTGAGTACACAGTCTTTTCAAGTGTCTTTGGTAATCAAGACATTGCATTTCTGGCTAAATATTCCCGATCAGCGAAGAGAACAGAGTGCAAAAGCAGACACATACAACATGGCCAATGGATGTTTCAAAAAGGAGGGCCAAGTGAGTAATCCAATGGGTAAATGGGAAGTCTTTTCAACAAACTGGACTGGGGATATCCCCATGGAAGCAGCACCAACAACAATAAAAACCATCAAAACACAAAATAGAACCGCTCAGCCCTTATCTCACAATATTCTCCAAAATTAACATAAAACAGGTCCTGCACCTAAATGTGACAGTTTCTAGTAAACAGTGGGGGGAAAAATTGTGATCTTGGGCTAGACACAGAGCCTTTAGATTTGACAACAAGCAAAGCACTAAGAAAAGGCTCAATGGGTTTCGTCCAAATTATATACTTGTGGCTTAAAGACACACCATTAAGAAAATGAAAAGGCAAGCCACACATCGGGAGAAAACATTTACAAAGTTTATGAGTACATCTGTCTTGTATCCAGAATAAAGAACTCTTCTCAACTCAACGAGATGAAAACCAGAAACTCAGATTTTCAAAAGGAGAAAAGATTTTAATGCACCCGTTAACAAAGAAGATATTAGCAAGGAAGGGCTGGGAAGATGCTCAACATTATTAGTCATTAGGAAGATGCAGATTAAATCATAGCGAAATAGCATTATGAGCACACTAGCATGGCTAAAATCAAACAGAATAAAGTGTTGGCAATGATGTGCAGACTTTGTGACACTTATACATAGCAATTTGGAATGTAAAATGGTATCAGTACTTTGGAAAAACTTCACGTTTCCTTAAAAAACGAACGTACGTTTACCATAGCACCCAGGAGGAATTCTACCCCTAGGTATCTACCAAGAGAAATGAAAGTGCGTGTCTCTCGGCAGTATTACTCACAGCAATTCCAAACTGGAAAGGTTCAAATCCCCTTCTAGAGCTGAACAGACTAGCACAATGGTATGTCCACAGAGTGAAACATTTCTCAGCAGTAGAAATGGATGAATTATTAATAGGGGCAATAACATGGCCAAATCTCCAAGGCAACATGCCAAATGGAAGAAGGCAGATACAACAGGCTCTGCATGTTGTATTATTGTACTCAAGAGATGTTTTCAGAAAATAAAAACTACAGAGACACAAAACATAGCAGAGGGGTGAAGGATGGGAGTGGGGATTATTTGGAAGGGAGCAGGAGGGAATTTTGGGGGGGAGGGTCTGGAAGAGTTTTCAAACTGGGCTGTGGTTATGATTGCATGAATATATAAATTTCTTAAAACTCATTAAACTATATACTCAAGTGGGTACATGTCACGGGATGCAAAACAGACTGTAATAAAGCTTTAAAAAGGATGTAGCAAATGGAAGCAATTCAAATGTACATCAACTGATGAACTGGTAAATAAAATGGGGTACATATTTGTCAAGTGGAATATTATTTGGCAATAGAAATAAATGGTAAACCTGGGAATCATGCTACCTGAAGGAAGCCATTCACAAAGGTATATACATTATATGGTTCCATTTATATGACAAATCTGGGCTGGGAGGCGGAGGACTGGAGAGTCTGGGGTGTGGGGTTTCCTTCAGGATTAATAAAATTGGTCTATAATTGGTTGTGGTGACAGGTGTGAAATTCCGATGTATTAAAAGTCACTGAGCTGTACATGTTAAATAGGCAGATTATATGGCATAAAAATCTTATCTCAATAAAGTTACCAACAAAGGTATATAATTGGAAGTGAAGTTTTGCAGTAATTTTAAAGGTCAACTCAATACTTTAGACACATTTTCTCCAGTTGCAGGGTACTATGGTAACCAAGAGTGTAGGGTCCGGCAAGTGGGGAACACAGGAAGTCTGCAGAGGATGCTCCAGGAAGTCTGATCTTACGCTGCACTCAGAAGAGGAAGGCTAGGAGAGACGGGTGTGCGTCAGAGATCTGAACACCCGGCGTATGAGCAGGAAGGGCCCTCCCACTCCACCTTTTCTACATCCTGGACATGCCCCTACCCGTTGGCTCCCTTCCACCGTCTCCTCTACTTGACAACAAGCAAATGAAGGCTTCCTTCCAGCATTTCCTGCTCAAGGCTGGTTGCTCGGTGACACCAAGAGTGAACGGACTCCTTGTGTCCATAACAAAATTAATGAAGCCAGGTGGGCATCGGGGCAACTGGGCACC